GGGCAATTTAACGCATTATTATTGCGTTAACCCATTAGGTTTTAGTCGTTGCTTAGCCCTAATGTGGGTGGTTAGGTGGTCGGTTGGTGTAAAAGCAGAGAGGGCAGGTGATAGGGTCAGATCCCCTGTGGCGACCCCTGGAGGGGATAGCCTACAGAAGAAGAAGAATGTATAAATCTGTAGTTTTCTCATGTGAAGTACTACAGTATTTGCTGTAGTACAGACAGACAGGCAATATTTGTTTATTTATAAAATGTTGACCTCGACTTTAATGACAATTTCATTTTAAGATTTAAGGTAGTGTAATACTTAAATAGTACTATGTTCTAATTCAGAAAAATAACCCCATTAGACCAGACTCTTGTTTCTGTGGTGAATCTGTTGATCTGCATAGTTGATTATGATGCTTACAAAACCATTGCAAAGACAAGAGACGTTTTGTGCAAGACATTGTGTTAGAATTTTACTGCAATATGTGTTATTCTCTTTCACCAATACCATCAAACAGTATATTAGTTGTATACTGAAGAAGCCTCTTGGATGAGCTGTTTAAATTTCACATCGAGTTGCCTAACAGAACTCTTCAACCTAAGTATATTTTTTCTTATGGCATTTAAAATGGAATTTGAAGAACTGATGGATAATTATTCGTCGATTAGATATCCATGTTTTATACAGACCAGACTACAAACTCTGGTATCTTAATTCTCTCTCTATCGCTCGCTCCCCCACTCTCTCTCTCTCTCTCGCCTGAACAAAAGAAAGCCTCACCAAGCCTGAATCTCAGCAGTGCTACATCCATTTTATAAACAGCCTGTGTCCTACAGTAGTAATCAGAGGGTATTTTTGAGGAATGTGCAGGCTGGCCAGGAGGCACCTGCTGGAGTGAGCTCTAATTGCAAAAAGCAGAGGCCTAAACTGCCCTGCGCTCTTTTCAAGCCATCAGCAGCAGCTTCCAGCCGGAGAAATCAGCAGCTTCCCATTGAATCACTTTTATATTTGTTTAATCGTATGCCTTTTCTAACTTCGCTCCTGCCCAGTCCACCTTCTGTAGTGCCCTCCCCCTCTTCCTCATCCTAGCCAATCAACGAACCAGCAATCACCTTGCCAACAGACGTCCTCTGCTCAGTTGGCCATATTCAATCATGATCACCTGCGGCTGATGAGGTACGGTGGTGACGTAAAACACAATGGGGGGCGAGGTGGGGGGAGATAGTAGGGAGCAACTGTTAAACCTCTAGATGCACTGCCCTGATTCCAGGTGACCGAAGGTACCGATCACCTTTTTGTAAAATATGAAGTTTAAAATACCAAAGAGATGAAAGATAATGAGGCCAAATATTTTCTTCTTCTTAATCAGCAAACCAAGACGGAGCTCAATGATGTCAAATATGGTTCATGCCTTTGTCACCGTCTGAGTTGTGTATCTAGGGGCTAACGCTTTCGTTCACCTTCGCAGAGTTCTCAGTTCACAGTCCAGACTCACAACGCAATGCCTGATCACATGCAAACAAACAAACAAACAAACCAACAGCCTGTTAACCCCAGCCACAAAACTAAAAGTATTAATGATGAGTTCTGAACTACTTCACAGCCTCAGCTCCGTCCGTGTATCCAGAACCAGGGCTTACTTCAAGGCTCTGTCTTGCACAGCTGCCTTGTAACGAAAACATTTACACGCTGCACACTTTACACATTACAAACACTTGCATCATTCACAAAAAGTAAGAATGAAGTTTACAATCAGTCACACACACACTATGAAGCTCACCCTAATGGGTGTTGTCTGGTTTAAAACTATTGTAAACCAATACGAAAGGTGGTTTCACTCACATTTCATCATCAATCGCCAACTAATGGTGTAATTAAAGAAAGACTAGAGAAAAGGAAATGTCTGCACCCATCTTTTCTGGTAAGGAATGTTTAAAAGTTGCTAGAGGATAATCCAATTAGGTCAAGGGCGTATCTTTAGCTGCAGACGTTGACATTTTCCTGGATAATATGTTTGAAGTTATGTAAATGACATTGATGAAGAGAGCAGTAGTGTGGATAGGTAGAGGAGTATGAATGTGTGGAGGTGATTACGGCTAACTGCAACTTGTGCTGATTTAAGGACCGTTGGCAAGAAAGACAAGAAATTTGTCAATTTCCTGCAATTCTTTCCTTTGGATAATGACACTCTCTTCACACCCCACATTTAGCCACATGCTTTAGCACTTGTTCTAACAGATATATTTATTACTGCATTATCAACACTCCTCTTGACACTGGCAATTTTGTTTGACAGGGAATATCACATTTGAAGTCATGGGAAATATGCAGACTTGTAGGAGGAGAATTACAGTGGACACCACAGAGTCCACAGTCTGAGGACTCTGTGGTGTCCACTGTAATTCTCCTCCCAGAAAAGTCTGTGGCTTAGTGTTTACAATTTTTATGTCAAATTATAAAAAATTACTATTATATTGCTTCCACTATTATCCACCAACTCTATTCATTTACTACTATTTACTATAGTTAGGTTTCATTTTTACATATTGTTATTGAAAATTTTCCATATGAATAGTTCTATTATTTGGATAAATAGATAAAATACAAACAGGTGTTACACACCGTTATTGGTCTTCATGTTCGAGCAAGATACAGAAAATGTTTTTGTCAAAGTTGGTAATGTTGATTAAATCTGATTAATTATGATAAATATTGTTTAATGCACAGCTAAAATGTTATTGATCTGATTAGAAAATGTAACTGATTCACAGCTGCTAATCTGACAGCCAATGCAAAAAATACAACATTAAAATCAATAAGTGGGAAAAAAAATAAAATGTGAATTGTCAGGGAACTGTCAGGAGAGACCAGAGGCAGGGTGTCGGAGACACTGCAGCATAGGGGAACAATAGCCTCCCTTTGGCATCAACCTCTGGACAGCAGAAGCTGCTCACCAAAGACATTCAGCTCATCCACAATGAACTGCTGCAACGGGAAAGGAGGAGTTAGAGAGTTCAATTTCCAACACAATTGGTTGCATTCTGCTCAGTTGAATGCCAAGAAGATGGTGTGCAGAATGTACCTTTGTGGAAAGCTTCACTTATTTGGAGTGTCCTCTAGCAGGAGGAAAGCAGAAAGGTGATGACAACAAGAGCAGGAAAAACAAGCTGAGGTACAGAAAAGGTGCAGCTGTGTAAAAGAAGGAGACGGGGAGAATTGAACTGAATGAATGAAGGTGGAAACCATAAGGGGAGGAAGAGTGTCCACTCTGGCTGTCCTCTAATATGGAGCGTCTGAAGGACAATGTTGCTGTTAGTGGAGTGTGACATGTGTCCTCCATTTAATTCCACACAGCTCGAAAGGAAATAGACTCACAATGGAGTGGTGATCATGATTCTCATACACCATAAACAAGCAAAATAGGAAGCATCTCAGTTATGGGGAATACAGCCTCGCTGAAGACAGAAAGAAGACGCTGTGTCGGATAGACACTGAAGAAACATTTAAATGTGGGGTGGGTAAGAGAGAGACAGACAGAGCAAATGAGACCAAAAAACTTCCACATCCAAGTTAATTCACAATTCTACTCTAATAATAATTGTTGATTTCTCAACCTTCCTCTCAGCATCATGACAAGTTGAATTTAAATGATGAATCCCAGAGGAAACACAGGGTTTCCAAGAACTTGACTTAAAAGAGGTTTTGTTATTTGGGTATTTTGTTATCCTGCTATGATTACGTAACAATGTTAAACAATAACAATATTGTTGCACAAAACTGCTCAATCAATGTTAATCCTGACTGAGCAGAAACGTAGTTTGTTTACATCTGCGCTCCTTCAGTGACAGAGGTGGACGCTCACGCTTCAAAGCCACAGATTAGTGTGAGTACAGTTGACAGAGTGTACATGAGAGGACGGAGACATGAAAGAAAGAAGGGTTCGATGTGTGCCAACTGCACTGAGAACCTTCATACACTGTTACAAAGAAATTCACATTCACAGCATCCAGCTCAGTTCAGTGAGCTCAGCCTACCAGCCGGCTGAATAGCGTGACATACAGAGAAGTGTCTGCTCTTCTTTCTTGTGGAAATACCTGTCAGTGGCTGTCGACCACTTTTGCACACATTGATACATGGACACATAGGCAGCCAGGGAGAGGCTGTCTCCTCAAAGTTCCTTTAACTAAACTATGTGAGAATCCAGAGCCGGTAACATTCAGTACGCGAGGTGGTAAGATGTGACAGGCCTATACGTACTTCCTGTGATAGTTGTGGTACAGACAAGGTAGCATTGGGAATCAAGACTGTAGGAAATAAATGGGTGTAGTTTTCCATTTGGAGAACATTTACCAAGTACAAGGTAAATATTTGAAACCAGACCTTTACAAACAATGTATGCTCTGACTGGTCAGTGCCAGCTGTGCACTTACATTTGTTAAGGATGCTCAATTTGACCAGACAACAACATGGTTTATCTATCAAGATCCTGAATCTTGAAATCCTGAAACTCCTTTTCTTTCAATTAGAATTCTGAGTGTTCAACATTATTCCACACTGTAAAAACAAAAGTGTCATTTCAAAAACGCTTTGTGGTTCAGTGAGTCAGCCAACTTTTCTGGGACAGTGATGTCCGCTAACCGAACAAAAAGAGTTTAATAAGCAAAAGATAACGTAAATGCTTTTCTTAGAACTCATCTTAGAGACTTAGAAAAAAAGACTGGAAAGCAAGTCAACATCTAACAGTCATGACTAACGTCAGGCAGCTTTCTACAACAATCACACCAGCATCATGTGACTCACACAGACATATAAAACCATCAACCACTTATGCACTCTACACACCATAGTAGTCAATTTATCACTTTGACACATTTACATTATTCAACAGATGTTACACTCAATGTATGTATTGTAATATCTCATTTCCTGGGCAGGACGGTGAATGACTACATCCCTACCTTGCATGAATGATGAAAAAAAAAAAAAAGAAAGGCAAAATATTTACTTACCTCTATGTCTGTTAGTAGTTTTATCAAACATTAGCATGGCGTCATCAACCTGAAGGACAAAAAGAGGAGATCTGATATCAGTTTAGTAGCATAATGCTGTGTTTAATCATTTTTCTCTTACACAGTGATTCCTAACTCATCAGCTTCCAGCCGTTGTGTGTGTTTTCAATTCACAGCCACTGAACACCACTGCAGTCCTTGTACAACATACAGGCCTGGACACCGGAAGGAGTTAACGGCTTATGTTATTACATCAAAGTTGAATTAGCTGTAGCGCACCAAGTAGCCGGATTAGCCCCTGTAGCACGGTCAGAAGTAGCCTGGCCAACATGGCGTTATTGTGTGATGTTGAGCATGAGTGAGGTTACACCGAGGCAGGGCTGACCATATCAACTCAGCCTGATCCATTCAAAAGGAAACACAGAGGTGGCGTTATCAAACTTTTCCATTGTGGGACCTACATTCGGAGAGCATGAAATCCCCCGCCACCCACTACTCAGAATACGTCTAAACAACAGGCAAAATCTGTCATATCACAGCTGTACAAACGCAGGTGCGACACAGGTGAAACATGGATCTTTCTATATTGAAGACAGAAATAACATAACGCCAAAGTGGGAAATGTTTAAGAATATTAAGAAGTGAGACCCATTCAACAAAGAACTCACTTTTATACTAATTCTCTTATGAGTTCCTTATCACCTCACATCACGGATAGGTCACATTTAAGCAGGTGATTGGATACAGTATGTACACCTCTTTCTGCTTCTTTACCTCCATCCCCCTGCCCTATCGTCTCCCACACTCGCCCCCCTCTTTGCCACTTGCAAATTCTATAGAATCATATCCTCTGCTTCAGGGGTTTTCAATGTACTTATTCAAGCAGAACACAACTATGTGCCTCCATCTGATAGAAGGTTAAAGACCTGTTCACTGCTCACAAAAAAAAGCCCACTACACAAAGGTGAAGCCAGGCTCACTTCAGGGAGAAACAGTCTTTCTCGGTCCTCCTCTTCTTCCATTTCTTTTACCTCTTCTTTTCTGCAGGCTCAATGAAAAGAAAGGTTGAAAGAATAATGGCTGTCTTATCACTATGTAAAAGGGGATTGGGAACTACAGCGAAGTGCTAAGCCTTTTGTGACACTGAAGAAAAGAGCAAAAGTCTATTTTACCGTGGTATGTGCCTTGGAACAGCTCATGACCTCCTACACAGAGAAGAGTGGTAGAATTTTAGAGAGCAAAGGTCAGGAGGCTATTAAAGGGACACAGAACTGAAGCAACATTTGAACAAAATAACATTCTTCTAGATAAAAAAGGGTGATTGCAGGGCACATGCGTGTGTGGATAGTTGGCTTCCAGGTAATTTTACTCTGAATTTGCAGTTCAAAAGCTACAGTATGTGTGTTCGGCGAAAGCATCCGAAAGGTCAATCACGACTGACCTGTGGATGGGAAACACAGGAGGAAAGATCAAGAAAGACAGTTCTTGTCTGTTGGATTCCAGCGACTGCAAGGATGTTGAGGTTGATTGACTTTCCTCAAAGATTGTTTTACCTCAGCAGCTTAGATTTTTAAATTACTACACACTATATTATTCTAGACTAGACTAGACTTCTTATTATTAAAATATTACCTTTTCTTATTCAGCAGATCAAGGCAAAAAGGTGTGAAGCCCTGCACTGAAGTCTATACCATTTTACCTCCAATCCAATACATACATTATAAGCATATCCTTAAAAGAGACAGGAAGACTGAAACTGTGGTAAATCACTTCTGTAAAAGCATATTAATGCATATTTAAAGTCATTTATGATGAGAACAATCCAGCTACCACTGGTCCTTAATCATTACAGTGCTTAAAATCTCATATTCTATTACAATGATCATCAGAGAAATTAGAGCAACTCAGTGACAATGGACAAATTGGTGACAATGTTCTAATTGTCCTTTTGTAGAGGAAATCTATATCACTGTCCAGAGCGTTGGGCTTCTCAGTGCTGCATTCAGGCTTCAGCGCTTTTACAAGTGCTGCTCTAACAAGGAGGAGAGGGCAATACTGCCCGTCCTGCAGGGGGCAAACCAACAATGTTCTGAATTTTGGACCTGGCTGCTGTAAGTGTTCTTTCAGCAGAGGACAGGTCAGTTGTTTTTTTTTAAGGAAATTCCCTATTACCAGTGGTACACAACAGGAAAAAATGAAAGTAGAAGGAAATATACAGACAAAGACAATGTATACGTCAAAGGGAAGCGAAACGTATCAGATATTTTAACTATAAATATATTTGAACACTTGTGAATCACTCCAAAATACACCTAAGTACGAGCCATAGTCTGTCTATCACATTTTTCACTCACTCTATCCTTCGTTTATATTCTAACCCTTTAATGATTTTTTTTATACCTGTACATGCCATTCTCCACCCTCTCACCTGCCTCACAGGGATAAACAAAGTTTCCTGAATCTGATCATTTGACATCACTACACCGAAGAGGAGCAACTCCACAGTGATTAAAACTTTTTTTTCTATGCTTCTCTTTCACACCAAACACCTACATCTGTCATCCTATGATAGCCTGCCTCTCTTTGTCAGTATAAATATGGAAACCCCAATTTGAATACGGTTACACATTCCTCTATTTATTAAAGCTTGGATTAACATGACAGGAAGTTTTGTCTGGGGGGCTCTTGAAGATGGCTCAGAGAGGCAATCTGGTGACAGTAATACGCTCCAGCTAATATACTTGACTGATGCTCCCTTCCAATGTTATACGGCACAACAATGGGAGAGGGGAACAGGGAGTGAATACATTTTGTTCTGTAATATGCCTGTGTGTGTGTGTGTGTGTGTGTGTGTGTGTGTGGTTTTTACAGATTTGTGGGCCGCCTTATCATCCAGCCTATCATCTTTTAGCAAATATAGGAAGGAAGAAAAAATACTGCTGGTTCAGTACACACTATATTTTTCTTTTTTTATCATTTCACTATATAACACAGTGTAATGCAAAAGCTACAACTTACCAAATTGTACCCGAAACATAACCCAACATACATGCTCACTCTCACTGCACAATACCTGAATCTTAGCTATTCAACCTTTGCTGCACCACAACTTTCCAATTATTTCCATAGATTTTTGATGCGGTCGGAAGCTTTTTTACGGATGTATTGACCCAGGACTAGTGTCCAAAGCCAATGAGTTTGAAACACTTAAAACATCATCACCAACATTAACCTACCACTGGCACCGAAAGGCTGTGGAACAGCTGCCAATGGTCAGTTGTAAATTCTTCACTAAGAACTCCGAATAGGAAAATCAGGAGAAAATGTTCCTTGATAGGAAAAATACAAATGACATCATTTGGTCTGGTCTGTGACAAACGAACAAATAATTTTTACAAAGAATAATAATGATAGGAAATTATGAACATTCTCTCATTCAGCCCTGCTTCATAGATGCTCACGCATGCACAACAAACGACAAGAAAGAGAGAGAGAGTGTGACGGAGTGGGAGAAAGAGAGAGAGGGAGAGAGAGAGAGAAAGAGAGAGAGAGTTGTGTTTGCACATCAAACACACATCTGTTCAATGAATAGAGGGAAATGTATTTCAATACTAATTAACAATCCACTGTTAGTGGCAAAATGCCAGCTGCCAACTGATAGCAGCCACAAACACTACCAGCTCAAAGACGTAGATGTGTGTTCACTGACCTACGCTAGGCTTTTATCTAAGAAATACTAAGAGTTCGGAAAAGTTGGTTGAATTATGATAATTACAATGGGCTTTATATCAGATGATAGCAGATCGTTCTTTAGTAGCGCAACCTCTGACTTCTTAACTGACCCTTGGAAAAGCCATCTGGCATCAACGTTTTCTGAGTAAGGATTAGAACACATGCACTCCCTCTCTCTGTCTCTGTCTCTGTCCCTGTCTCATGTATGGGTTTTCCAGCCTGTCAGTCTGCCTGGTGACAGGGTCAGATAGAGAGAGTGTAACAATGTGAGCAGATGAGGGTCTTTCTGTACGAAGACCCCCACAGCGTGACACCCAGATGGTCCAAATAACACTACAAACTGATGGACGACTGATTAACTAGTATTGCTACAGTACATACTGTATGTGTATCAGAAAATATTCATATTTCATTAAATGTCATTTGACATTGTTTCACTTTCAAAATTCATCAAGTGGGCCAGATTGAACCCCCGTGTGGGCCAGTTTTGTAAAAAATAACCTGTGGGAACAGATCCCTCTAGTTAGTTTTATTAACCTTTTTATTTTATTTTATTCAAGTACCAATACACTAATTAATGAGATTATGCAGAATTTTAAGTATCTTTGCTAAAAACCTTCACAACTTTCAAATCAATAGGGTTTCATATCATTTCCACACATTTTATGTAATCAATTATATATTTGTTTTCCTAATGATGTTTCTGTTAAATATATAATTATAGTCATAAACTTCAAACATTCTTCAGTTTCAATTTTCCATGAAAGAGACTTGCGCCGCCTCATTTTGCCTTGTTTCTCTCTCTCTCTCGCTCTCTCCCTCCCTCTCTCTCTCTACCCAGCCTTCCTCCCACCAGCTCACGACAGCTTCTCTCCATCTTTTACATCCGTCTGATCCATGTGTCAACAGGCAACACCACAACCTCACACTAACCCAGCATGCTCCAGCCCATCTGCAGGCCACGCTGTCTGCAAATACATTTACCCGGGACTTTGGATACGATTGATGGCAGTGTTAACGGGTACTGTAAGTGCTTTTGTCGTTACACATGACTGGGGGGCGGCTGCTCTGTATGCTCAGGCAACAAAGACAGCCACTGCAGGCTTTTGCAAATATTCTTTACAAGCTGTGGGTAAAAAGACAAAATTCGCCACTGACAGATGATTTACTCATCAGTTTTCCCAATTTTTTTTTTCTCCCCCAAGGCCTCCCATCTTGGTGTGCAGCTCTAGTAATAAGGGTTTTTTAGTTGTCAGTAGGTCAAAATGGAGGCTGTGCACTTGTCCAGCTCAGGTCGAAAGCAATACAGAGGTTGTG